ATGAGAAAAACTAGTTTTTGGTGCAAGGATCCAGGAGGGGGTTACCTCTTGAGGGGCAAGTGTTCACTAAGGGGAGGTCCTAGAGAGGATTTGGCCACCTTCTGGGATGGCCCTTGTCATTCTGGATCTCTTCATGGAACTATGAGAATTGCCATAATTAATGTGCGCTTTAGTTTCTGTATTTCTCCTTTAATAACCATCGGGGACTTGACAGGAAGTGGATCCAAGTGCCAGCCTCACACTCTGGGGCCTCCAGGGGGCGTTATGGCCCAACACACAGCGTGGCCAAGCGCACCTCCGCCTAATACACCACTTCGGATCTGTTTTCTATGGTTTGCACCCGCTTAGGGTTGACTGGGGGCGGTTAGGCGGGGGAGAGTCCTGCTGACTTTTTTAAAAAGCATTGTTTTATGACTAGGCCTACAGAAAAAATTTCCAAACTAACATGCATGGCATGTTAGGCACCAGCATGACCCTCCCGGTGCCAAGTGTTAAAACCTTCCACCTTGAAGCAGGAGCAGCAAAGCCATTCCTGCCGCTCTGCTAGCCCTTCCACAAGCTGCTCCCGGGCCCTTCCTCACCTTCAGACTCAGGCCCTTCTTCTGTGCTTGTCCCAGGACTTGCTCACTTCTGTAACAGCCCAGGTCACTCCAGAGAGACATTGAGCATTCATGTGTCTCTTGCCACCTGACTGTGAGCTCATAAGGGCACCACCTGGGTTTTATTATCTGCTCATTCTCTAGCACCAGCCATTCACAAAAGCCCTTCTCATGGACATGAGCACAAAAGGCCCTGAAAGGGCAGAATGAGACCAGAGGCTCTGTCCCGAGGGTTTGTGGGGAGCCCCTGCCAGAAGAGAGGTATGCACCAAGCTTCCTCTGTCACCACCACCCCTCCAGCTTTCTGTGGCACACCCCATCCCACCAAATTCCTTTCTCATGGAGAAGATGCAGCAGTTGGAACAGGAAAATATACAAAGGAACTAAGATAAATAATGCATGGCCAGCATTATATATATTATATATTATATAATGCTGGCCACGGCCAGCTCATGGCCAGCACAGTGGCTCACACCTAGAAGCCCAGCACTTTGGGAGGCCAAGGTTCGAGAATCACTTGAGGTCAGGAGTTTGAGACCAGCCTGGGCAACATAGCAATATTTCTGCCTCAAAAATAATTATATTAGCCAGGCATGGTCGTGCACACCTGCAATTCCAGCTACTTGAGAAGCTAAGGAGGGAGGACTTGATCCCAGGAGTTTGAGGCTGCAGTGAACTATGATCTCATGACTACACTCCAGCCTGGGTGACAAAGCGAGACCCTGACTTTAAACACATAAATAAAAGATAGTAAAAATAAGATAACTAATGCAAAATAAAAGCACACAGAGAGTTCTAAGAAACAGACTTTCACCTGGTTCTAAAGCACAGACACTCACCTCTGACCTCAAGTGCTGATCCAGAATTGCTCATCAACCTTCCTCCCTTCATCCCCACTTGGTTCAGCATCTCTAACACAGAAGCCCTTCTCTGGGGCTGCAGGCTCTGAGAAGCCTCAAACGCCATCCTGGCTGGTTTTCTGTTCCATGTGGTTAGGATGGAACAGAAACCCACGCAAGCTGGGAGTCTGCCCCAGCTTATGACTCAGCCTTAACTCTGCCACTTCCCTGGGCTGGCTGATTTTCCCTTCTGCCACCTATCCCCCAAATCCACCTTGGGGACAACCTTCCAGAATGAAAACCAAAGCACTCCAACCATCATAAAAAGGAATGCTCTAAAGCGAGGGCATTCCCATGGGAAGGGCCCGCCAGCATGAAGGTTGGAGCTGGTAGAGAGGGAGCTGGGTTTGGGAAACGTGAGATGTGCCATGCCAGATAAGCAAGGAACTCACATGGCAAGCAAGTGGAGGGAAGGCTGGCCGGAAGAGAAATTCTATCAGGCATCACAGGGCCTAAAATGTTCCCAAACTAAGTGCCTAATGTCTATTTGGGGGGCCACAAAACACATTAAGTTTCTAAGCAGGCAATGGCTGAATCCAAGCAACTTTTTTTTTTTTTTTGAGATGGAGGCTCTGTCGCCCAGGCTGGAGTGCAGTGGCACCATCTCGGCTCACTGCCACCTCCGCCTCCCAGGTTCAAGTGATTCTCCTGCCTCAGCCTCCCGAGTACCTGGGATTACAGGTGCACACCACTACACCTGGCTAATTTTTAATTTTTAGTAGAATCGGGGTTTCACCATGTTGGCCAAGCTGGTCTCAATTTCTTCACCTCGTGATCCACCCACCTCGGCCTCCCAAAGTGCTGGGATTACAGGCGTGCACCACAGCACCCAGCCCAAGCAACACTTTTTAAAACTGGCAGGAGGATGGGGTGTTTGGGGGTGAGCAGCCAGGGATGGGAGCTAAGGGAGGAGGCTGTGGGCAAAACTAGGAATTCCATGTCTGCGCCAAGCCAGGGTAGAGTCCAGTGGAGGTAAAGTGCGTTGTTGTTAAAGATATTCTCTGTGGGCACTGGGGCAGGGAGGACAGGGAAGGGAGACTCCTTAAGACGTGACAAACAGGTAGCTGCAGGACAGGGAGGGAAAGTATTGGAGATGACTCCCAAACTCCAAGCCTCGGGGGCAGCAGAAGGAGGCGCCTAGCACAAACACAGGGGAGGAAGAAGAGCTGGCTGGTGGAGAGTGAGTCGGTGGAGACCAGAAGTCCCTCTCCGGCCTAGGGGCAGAGCCTCTTGGGATAGGGACCCTCCCTGGAAGCAGATGCTCCTCTTCTCTCTGAGGGACAACCCCAGCCTTGTCCTCACCCACTGATGTTCAGGACTGACAGAATCGAGAATTCCATAGGGGAAGACCATTTCCTCAAAGATGTTCTCGGAGACTGTGGAGGAACATGAGTTCTATGACAGGAGAATAGGAGGAGTGCCTGAGGCACAGCAGCCTAGGGTGCTCAGAGGGCAGAGGAGAAACAGTGTGCTCTGGTCATCAGGACGGTTTCCTAGGTGTGTGTGAGGGTGTATGGGGGGCTGGGGGTGGGGTGGGGGACTAGCCCACTGCTGCCAGGCGGTCCCAGGGCCTGAGGCCCAAGAGAGGCCACGGAGTCTGAGAGCAGAAGCAGGAAGGCAGGGCTGGAAGGGAGCCAGCCCACATGGGCTCCAGGAGTGGCTTTTGGGGGGCCGGTCAGGCGTCCTTGGCAAAATGTTCCAGTGAACAGTGTCAGACACAGGAGGGGTAGGAATTGAAGAAGGACGTGGGGAGGAGGGGACAGTTCTTTTAAGAATGGGGAGATCTGAGCAGAGAAAAGAGAACATATCAAGTCACAAATAGCAGATGGGTGGGGTAACCTCAGGAAAGACAGAAGACAGGACTGAACAAAAAGTTCCACATCCATCTCCACAGGGGAAGGCAGGGAGAAGAGAATGGGTGAAAAGACAGAAATGAGGAGGACCATGTACTGCTGACGGCGCCAGCAGGGTTCTGCCAAGATTCCCTGAGTCCTCTCCACTGGGTAAGAGGAAGGGTGTCTGCTGGAAATGAGAGAGCCAGCGGTGGGTCTGAACGCTGGGGAGGAGTGGAGCAAGTATGGAACAGCTTTGGGAGGCTTCTCACATGTAATGTGTATACAGGTCTTGGTAAATTGCAGGTTCTGATTCAGCATGTCTGGGCAGGGCCTAAGAATCTGCATTTCTCACCAGCTCCCAAGAGATGTCAATGCTGCTGGTCCAGGGACCACACTATTAGAAGCAAGATTTAGAGAGGGAGATTAGGAGATGGAGAAAGATACTGGCATAAGAATTTGCCTTAAGGAGAGACTCATCTCTGATAATCCCACCTGGGGTAAAAGCTGAGACTTGAAGAAGTCTTGGTGGGAACGGCGGCCCCTGCAGGTGATGGTGAGAGGTATAGAGAGAAGGGCTGGTAAAGAGGCTAGGGAAGGAGGTGAGAGGGCCTGTGTGATGGTAGGAGAACCAGCAGTGCTGCCGGGACGCCTCATCTGGGCCAATGTGGGACAGAACACTATCTCACACTTGGAGGCCCCCCAAAAGAGGATGTGAGTCAGTTGGGGCAAGAAGGTGTTACTGGAGGGGTGTCTGAGCGTGCACGTGGCAGGCAGGGCAGGTAGCCCCCTGTTCTGCAGGGAAGTGCAGGACTCATTCTGGGCTTGCTCAAAGCCTGGCCAGGACAAGTGGGGAGAGGGGCAGAAATGCCTCTGCCCCAAGGTCAAGGGCCAGGTGACTTCTGCATCAGGAACTAATAAAGAAATGAATGGAATCTGAGAGGGAACGCGGCTGGGGAGAAACAGGAGGTGAGCTGAGCTCTGAGCCTACCTGTCCAACCTGCAATCTGAAATTATGAGGTTCCTGAAAGGCACAGGTGGAAACTAAAAAAGCTTTAGGCTTCGGTAACCCAGAATCGGAAACAGGGATGATGGATGCAGGGAACTCGCGTAGCTTGTCTGGGGCCCCAGCCTGAGAGAGAGACGTTTCAGTCCTTGGCTGGGGTTAAAGCGAGGTCAGGGTCGCCGGGGAAATGCGGGAGTACAGTCACGCGGGAGAAAAAAGTCAAGAGCGAAAGCCCGGAGGCGTCAAAATGAGCAGCAAGTCCAGGCACAGGGCGTCGGGCGCGGAGAGTACGGCGGGTGCAGGGGGAGGGAGGTGAGGCGGCGAAGACGCCGGGGCTTCCTCCGGAGGCGACGGGGAGGCCGCGGAGGTTCCCGAGCGCTGCGGGGCGCGCATGTCCTACTCCGGCCGGGCTCCTTCGCTGCGCGGCCCCAGATCCTCCCTGTGCGGGTCTCGGTGGCCCCGGTCGGGCTCTTCTGTTCCCTCCCGCGGCCTCCGCCAGGCCGCAGCCCCCCGCCCCCGCAACCGACTCGCTAGGGTCCGCCCCGCCGCCGCGGCCCGGGCCCGGCCGCTCCTCCCCCGATGATGTCACGTCCCCGGCCGCCCCTCGGCCGGCCGCGCCGCCCCGCCCCCGCCTCCCCCGGGCCCCAGTCCCCTGGGCCCGCCCGCTCCCGACATCCCTCCTCCCGCCCGCGCTCCCTCCCTTCGGCTACCGCTCCCCCGGGAGCGGCGGCGGCGGCGGCGGGATGGCCCGGGCCCGCGGCCAGGCCCCGGGGAGCGGCGGGCGGCGGCGGCCGCGGCGGGGCGGCGCGGGAACAGGGCCCCGGGGGGAGTCGGCCGGGCTGCTGCTGCTGCTGCTCCAGGTGCTGCCGCCCGGGGCTACGGCAGGGCCGGGGCGCCGGGGCACGCGGGGCGCCGGCGCCGGCGGCGTCTGCTGGCCTGGCGCGGCCCCTGCCTTTCCCCGGGACGCGCGGCTGCTGCTGTTCCTGCCGCCGCTGCCGCCACTGTCGCCGCCGCCGCCGCCAAGCTCCGCGCCCGCAGCCTCCGCCTCCCGGATGGTAATCAGCGCCCCGAGCTGGCGCCGCGGGCGGGCGGGAGGTGGGGGCGGCGAGGGGGAAAGGGCGGGCAGCCCCTCGCCCCCGCCTTGCCCTAGGCAGCTCCCGGGGCGCTCGGGCCCCCCCCTCCGACGACCGCGGCCCCGGGCAACCGCCAGAGCGCGCCTCTGGGGCGCCTCCGCGCGGACCGGGTGCGGGCTCCGCTCCCCGCCCTCCCCGCCGCACTCGCAGTCCGCCCGCCAGCGCCCTGGCCGCGGGGGAATCCCTTCATCTCCCCGCCCCGCGCCCCAGGAGGGGAGGGGACAGCGCCGGCGCCCGCGGACCGGCTTTCTCCGAGGGAGCGCCCAAGAGGCGAGCGCGCACTGAGCTGCCCCGACTCGACGCTGCGCTACTGGAGGCGCCTGGTGCCGTCGGGTCGGGCAGAGCTGGACGCCCGCAGCCTCGGCGGGAACGGACGCCGGGCGGTGGGGGCGCCCACTCACTGCGCGCCCTCATGTTCCCTGCGCAGGACGCTCTGCCCCGCGGCGGGCTGAACCTGAAGGAGGAGCCGCTGCTGCCCGCCGGCCTGGGCTCCGTGCGCTCCTGGATGCAGGGCGCTGGCATCCTGGACGCCAGCACCGCGGCGCAGAGGTAAGCGCTCCGACCCGACCTTGTGCGTTCGGGTGGGACGGCTCCGCACCGCTTCGGCTCAGCTTGCTGAGCTGCTGGAGCCAGGGGCAGAAAGAGCCCTAACTCTGGACTGTCCCTCCCACCCACCCCGTCCGGAGCGCCGGTGCGGCCTCCTGAGGATGTGGGGCGGGCCGGGGCGGGGCTTCTGCCTCTACTCCGGGCTGTCCCGGCAGATTTCTGACGGCCGATCGCGTGCGCAGCAGTGAACGCCACCCTAGCCGGGCCGTCTGTGGCTCTGAGAGAAGAGGCAGAACCTCGAGCCTTGACCCACAGCCACCGGCCGTCTAGGAACATCCAGCCCCTCCTTTCTGGGCAGACCCAATGCCTCTCCTTGTCCAATTCCACAGCTCTCTGTCAGGAAAGGCACGAGACCCAACCCTCTTTTTCCTTTCCCACGCCCCTCAGAGTTGGAGGATGGGGGTGTGCAGAGCCAGATAAGTGGCTGGGGGCTGGACAGTGGAGAAGAGATGAGGTGGGCAGTCGGCCTGGCTTGACTGATTGGCCTGGGAACTGGGCAGGGCCCCTGCCTCTCCCTCAGGTGTTTTTCTGGTAGGTCCTGTGTAAGGCAGAGTCCATGGGAACCCAGCACCCACACCGGCCTCCTCTGACTTCTTTGCAGGGGTCTCGGAACCTCAGTAGGAGGTTGCCTCCAGGATTTGAAGGTGAACTTTTAAAGTTTATTGCCCCCCCCTGCCAAGCACCTGCACCTCCCCCACCTTCACCAGGCTTCTTGCACCGCCAGCTGTGACCATGGAGGGAGGCTTTTAGGAATCCGACGGGGAGTCACCGTGGTTAGGATTAGGGAGGTGTCAGCAGAGCTGACACCTGGGACAGGATGGGACTGGGCTTCCAGAAGTCTGAGTTGTTGCCACAGCCAGAAGGGATTCTGACTGGGGGCTTAGGGCCAACCGGGCCTGACACAGGAGCCCACTTTCACACCCCAGAAAACACCTCGACCTCACGCTGTGACACACACCGCGTTTCATGGGCAAACTGAAGCCGGTTCTGCACTCCCCTCCTTTCATGGCTGGCAGGAGGGAACGCTGGGGGGCTCTGGAGCTATCTATTCCGGAAGAGAAAGGGTCTTGTGAATGAAATAATTTCCAAAAGTTTTACAAGAGATATAGTTATATTCCAGAAAATCGGAAAATAAAAAATGTAGTTCCTCCTTTCTCATACAACTACGGTTTGCATTTTAGTGTATTTCCTTCCTATTTGTCTTCCCATTAACTTGTCTCTTTCTGTGCTATGCTTACAGTTCCACCTCCTGCCTATTCTTCTGTTGGTTCTGGCTTTTTATTTAACTTGAGATGGTCAGTTTCTTAACTTGGCCCCCTCTTTATCCCCACCACCTGCTGTGTGGCGAGAGCTCTTTGTAAGCGTGGGTGAGGAGTGCTGGCAGGGGCCTCTGGGAGTTAAGGTTCCATTTCTCTGCAACCTTTCCCTCTGTGCCTACCCAGAGGCAGGTCTGATGATGGGGAAGCAGACGTGAAGGAGGCAGCACCCTTGGAGACTGTGTGGGGTTCAAGAAGTGTAGGGATAAGATTTCTCCCAGAGCATGGGCCACAGCAGTGGTGTCTGCATAGTGGGGTTGAGTGGGCTTGGGGTGTCCAGTCTGAGTCTCCACATGGTTAGGGCCACCTTGCTGGGATGGAGAGGGCTTCTGCAATGTGAACAGGGGCGTTTCTTCAGACTCGGTCTGCTAATCCCCAAGTTTGGAGACTTCTCTGTCTCAGGAAGTAGACTGGGAGCCCCCACACGTGGCTGACTCTCCTCCACATCCCACAGGGAGCCGCCGTATCCTTCCTCCTCACTCTTCCCCGTATTGTGTGTCATCACTCCGGTTGTATCTTGTTCTTCAGTCAGTCCTCTGCGCAAGTCTTCCCATCCCAAAACAGCAACAATGAAAATTCCTCCCCCTGGCCCTGCCTCCACCTTCATCCGCTGCCCGGTTTCTCTCCCTCTCATCTCTGAGAAACTTTCACGGAAGCGCTCTCCCAAAAGGCTGCCTGGGATCCAGAGTTGGCTTTGACAGCTTCCTCAGCCTCACCCCACAGTTGCCTGGGTTGTCAAGGCTTCAGAATGTTCCTTTCCATGCCCTAGTACCAGTCTCAGTGTCCTCAGCCACCACTTTTAGCAATAAAACCCCCTGGCCCTCCACCCACTTCCTCCCTGGCTTGAAGGTTAACTGCACGCTGGTTGCCACTTCAGCCTCTTGACCCAGGCCCCCAGCCCCTTGCCACGCCCCCAAAACCATCTTCCCCACACTGGGGACCAAAGCAATATTTCCAAAGTACTTTTTTCTGATCATGTCTTTTTCTGATTAAAAATAAAGTGACCAGGCCAGGCGCAGTGGCTCACACCTATAATCTCAATTCTTTGGGAGCCCAAGGAGTTCACTTAAGGCCAGGAGTTCAAGACCAGCCTAGCCAACATGGTGAAAACCCATCTCTACTAATAGTAAAAAAATTACCTGGGCATGGTAGGACATGCCTGTAGTCCCAGCTACTTGGGAGGCTGAGATGGGAGGATTGCTTGAGCCCGGGAGGCAGAGGTTACAGTGAGCCAAGATAGCACCACTGCCCTCCAGCCTGGGTGGCAAAGTGAAACTGTGTCTCAAAAATAAATAAATACATAATAAAGTGACCACCCCCCATCCCCACTGCTTCCTCATTGATATCTTCAGCATTCAAGGCCCATCACAGTCTGATTCTAGCCTTCGTCCCCAACCTCCTCTGCATGACACTTGGCAAACGGTGGATACTTGGAGAATTAGCTGCACCTCCAGTAAGTCCCAAGGTCTATTGAAACAGTCCCCCTGCCCTCAGCACCCACGCATTCACTGGATTAAGTCTCACCAGCCTCAGGACTCCCTCCCACACCCGCCGACCCCAGCACCTGCTCTGTCTCCCACCTCCCACCCTGCCCAGGGGAGTGACTTTAGTGCTGCCTACGAATGCTTACCATAGGCCAGCATCTGTTGTCCTCTGCCTGTCCTGATCCTCCTTGCCCTGCCAGCTGGGGCCTTTCCCTAAGGCAAGAGCAGCGGTCCATTCATCCTTGTGTCCATAGCACCCAGGGCAGGCTCAAGTAGTCCATGTGGGGGTGGGGGCGATGACTGTCCACCGAAGGAAGCAGGAATATTTCTCAGAGGGCTCCCAAGTCCCTTTCTGTTGGGTTCCCCTTTTGACTTTGAAGGCTCCAAGTTTCAAAGGAGCTGATACCTGACCCAGGACTCAGCTACTGGAGCAGCTACTCCTGCCCAGTTCTACAGATTGGCTTTTACAACAATGCCAAGATTTTTACAGAAGGTAGGCGGGGAAGAAAAGGCCCAGAAGGCCTGCTAAGATCAGCCAAGGAGGCTCTGCCAACAGGGAGGAATGTTCAGAGCAAAAGAGGGGTAGGAAGAGCAGAGGGGCTGTATACCCTTAAACCGGAGGCATTGGGGATGGGAAGGCTGGTGGAGAGGGCTTCCCTCTCCCTACCAAGGTCTTCCTACCAGGGAAGTCTGCACAAGGACCTGCCCCTGCCCTGAGGATCCATTGCCCAGTCCCAGCTCATCTTCCCCTGACTCCCCTGAAGACCAGAGTCCTCCTGCTGGCAAACTCAACCCAGAAGTCGCTCTCTTCTTCTGACGTGCTTCACAGGCTGGGAGACCTCTGGAGGGCCCAGGCCAGACCTCCCGCTGGAGGAGACCCCTGGAGGACCCAGGCCAGCCCTCCCACTGGAGCTGGTCCCTGCACACTAGCCAGGAGGCCAGCTGGGGCTGCCTTTCCTGTAAGCAGCTGCAGGCTAGCATCCCTGCTAGGAAATGCTTTTGTTTGCTTTAATAATTCATAGCCGATCCTCAGCCTGGGACCTGGCAGGCAGGCCTGTGGGTGGGTGGTGAGAGGGTGGGCAGAGAACAGTGGAGTGGGGAGTCTTTAGGTAGAATTGAGGGCCAAAGGAAGAGAGGAGAGCAAGCCTGTGAGATCCTTCCCCCCACCCCCACTTTCCACCCCTTTCAGGAACTGGTCACTATGCCAATTTCCTAGGGCAGGAGAGCGGGGCAGCTGCTGGGGCAGTGGGAAGAGGGGATAGGGACCCTCCCCAGACCCAAACATCCTCTCCAGCAGGACCATCTGGACACAGGCTCTGGGAAGCTGCCTGCAGCCTCCAGGCCCTACCTGTGCAAGCATTGTTGAGGTGGGTGCGCCCCAGTGAGCTGCTGCTTTTATCTTCCCCAGTCTGCACAGTCAGGGGTTGGGCATGTCAGGGGCTGGGCAGGGCCAGGCCAATAGATCTTGTCTGGGGCAGGAATGCCAGGCCCAGCTTGATCATCAGTAGCAGTCCCGGGGTCCAGAGGATGCCTGAGGGGAGAGTGGAGGCCAAGGGGATGCTTGGAGGAAAGGGGGGATGTAGAGGAAAGGGACTGATGAAGCCCTGCCATGATGGGGCAAAGAAGAGTGGACTTAGCAGAGAGAGACTTTGGGAAAATCTGGGAAAAGGGATGAGTTGCAGGAGTCATACTCATTTTGCTCCTTCCACTTCCTGGGGTGAGGGGGGTCAACAAAGAGCCCCTGTCCATTACTGATGAAAGTAGGGCTTGTCCCCTGTGGCCCCAGCATCCCAGACACAAAGATAAATTAAGCCCAGACCAAGGCAAGGCTTAAAACCTTGAGTTATCAGGGCAGTCAAGAGTTATCAGGGCACCAGGATTTGGTGGGGAGAAGGGAAGGCAGAAAGCCTGGGGGTGCTTCTGAGAGGAGGCCAAGGCTCCAGCCTCAGTCACTTGTCTTCTGTGGGATTTGAGCTGGCTGTAGTTAAATTGCTCACATTTATAACAAGCATGTAGTCAAGGATGTGAAGAGCCATGAGTGGCCTTACGAAGAGAGAACAGAGACTGTGAAGGGGACTTTGTACCAGACAGTTGTGCTGTGGCAGGGGAGAGCAGCTGCCTGGAGAAGGGCCCTGGAGTGTCCTGCTCAGCCTTGCAAAGGAGCTTCTTCCGGGACCTGCTGGGCAGTCTCAGCAATAGCAGTCAGACACTTCTGCAGCCCCCAGCATCTCCCACAAGCATCCGCATACACTCTGGAGCACAGTCCACCTGAATGGCAGGGGCTGTGAAGGTCAGGTTGCCCTTGGTGTTGGCTTGAACCTGGATTCCTAACACAGCGCTCAGGAAGCCCATGCACATCCGTGCTCACTACCAAAGCATGTTGACTCTGACCAAAATGCATCTGTGCAAAGTACATTTTTTTTTTTTTTTGGTATCTTAAACAGTCTCCTTTAATTTTTGCTCGATTTCAGAATAAAGAGGTGGAGGTGAATGGGGCATGGTGGAAGTACAAAAGTGAGCATGTTCTCTTCCCAAATCTGGCAAATCTGGGTTCTTAAGTACAGGGGCAAATGTCCCACTGCCTCAGCACACTCTGGAGTTGAGAAGAAAGCACTTTGAATGTTGTGCTTGAAACCATCTTTTTAAGAAAGCAAGGAAATGTATGATTTATTTTGCAGTCTTGCAAAGTGGTTAATGTGGCTGTTTTCGTCACTCAGCTGCATTTCTGTGTGGCATGGTTTGTTCGCTAATGATGCTGAGTGAATAAGCTGTTTCTGAATCATGGGTGCCAGCAGTACATACGCCAGGTGAGGCAGTTCTTACTTGCATTTGTCATAAACTGAGACCTGCCAAGCTGCACCCAGGCCCTTGGGGCTGGAGCTTTGCTGACCTCTGAATGGCTGGCAGTTGGTACCCACCCACATTCCCTCAGGACCCTTGGTCAAGGGTCTGCCTCCCCTGCTGTTATCTGCTTCCCTTTGCTTGAGAACTTGCTCAGGGTGCCAGAGCCTGCTCCGTCCACTTGCACAGCAGCCTAGAAGTACCTGAGAAGTGACAGTACCCCAGCTCCCTCACCCATCCCTCTGAGGGTATAATGCTGAGACGTACATTCCATGCTGTTTCCAGAGTTCCCCATGGGCTGGAGCTCCAAGTGCCCACAGTGGGGACTTGCGGAAAACGCACCCCCTATAGGCTGCCTTTTCATCTTTGTCTCACCCCAACCCCCAGTGTTTCCAGGAATCACTGCCCACTATTGGTATTTGAATCTTTGTCCCCAGGTCGGCTTCTAGGGGAACCCAAATAAAATAATTGCCTCTCCAGGCTTCAGGGGCTCTGTCCCCCTTCCCTCCCCGTTCCTTTCTTTTAGACTAAGGACACAAATCAAAAGACATCCTCACAGTTTCTCTCCACACCCCTGTTTGTCTTAGGCAGCGCCACTTTGGAGCAGCACCATGGGATCAGAGACCTTGGCCCTGGTCCACATCTCTCTGTCGCTAAGCCAGTCTGAGAGCAGAACGTGGCCGCCACCTCCCACCTGGGTCCTCACACACCTGCACCCAGGATGTGCCCATCAGGGACCCTCAGACCACTCAGCACCTCCCGAGCTGTTTGAGTCTATCTCTTTGTTTTTCTTTCTGTTCTTTAATCTGGGTTTGTTTTCTCTTTAAAAGAGCATCAGCTACCCGCAAGGAGTAAGAAATCTCCCCTTCCCCTTCCCCAGCCCTCTCTCTTTGGAGCTTGCATTTCCATTCCATGGGCGTTGATTAGTCACCACCTGCACATTGGGGTCAATCAGAAGAAGGCACGGTTCCACATCTGCCTCCGTCACTCTCGAGTCCTATTCAACTCACTGTTCCTCATGTCCTCTGTCTCTTGTTCATAGGAAAGTATCCTTTGCTCGTCTTCCCTTGAGCTTCTCCAAGCCTGGCAGGGCTATGAACAGGGTGAGCTGGGGCTCTTGCCCACTCTGCAGTCCTCCTCTGGTCGGAACTGGGCTGGAGCTGTCACTAACACTGGCCTGTTGTCCATGATATGGATCTTGTCCTGCCCCTGTAAATTAACCAGTGCTGCTCCACAGGTGGCTGTGAGCCTGGGAGGATGAGTGTGCCTCAGATCCACTGAGCTGTGCTGGGGAAGAGCAGGATGCCACTCTGGGCTTTCTTGGGGCAGTGGACTGAGCCCAAACCTACTAAGAGGCAGGGCACAGGCACAGGAGGCAGGACAGCCCGTCCATGACCCCAGCCAGCAGGAAACGCTGGCCCAGAAACCCCTGGGGAACCTGCTGTCTTTCTCCTCCCTGGTCCCTTTGCCCTCTCTCCTATGTAATCCCCTCCTGCAGGGAGGGTGAGCCCTGTGAAGGGAGGTTGGCTTGAGGCTTATGCCACACTTCTCAGGTCTGGTCCTCAGGACCCTGGCAGGAGCTGGGGGGCAGCCAAGATCCAGGACTGGCTGGTATTTGCCAAAGGGCATGGGTAGGACAGGAAGTGCAGGCCAGCATCTTTGATTTATGCTGCACCAGTCTGGAATTTGGCCTGGGAACTTGCAGGGTGCCTGTGTAGAAAAGGCATGTCCAGTGGTCTGGGAGATTTCGTTATTTCTCAGCATTCACCCCTCTCTGGCAAGGCCTCCTTTTCTCTCTGTAGCCTCTCTCCCCACTGCCTGAGAGCCTTCCAGGCCCCTTCACTGGGCTAGATGACAGCCACAGGGACCTGGGGTTGCTTCACAAACCCACCTCCTCTAGCCTTCTCTCTCACCAGGTGGTCCTGGAACCCATTCTCAGTGGAGTTCAACTTAAGCTGGTCCTGGGAGCGGGAGGGAGGAGCTCAGGGTTGATGCCTCATTAGCATATTCATCAACAGTAATCAGGGCCCTGCTGTGATCAAAAGCCCTCTTAGGGCTTCCTTGCCTCTAGCTGGCTGTGGAGCGGGTGAGGGGCGATCAAGGCCTCTACTGGAAAGGACTGTAGCCTGAGGGGGAGGGGGTGGAGGGAGCAGGGAAGGATGGAGGGACAGTGAATTCCCTAGGGAAAGGAGCATCTGTAAGAAGAACCTGTGATAGGAAAGAAAAGGTGTTGAGGCTGTGCACAGTGGCTCAAGCCTATAATCCCAGCACTTTGGGAGGCCAAGGCAGGAGGATCACTTGAGCCCAGGAGTTCAAGATCAGCCTGGGCAACATCGTGAGACCCACCCCCCATCTCTCCAAAAAAATTTTTTAATTAGCTGGGCGTGGTGGCTTATGCCTGTAGTCCCAGCTACTCAGAAGGCTGAAGTGGGAGGATCCGGTGAGCCTAGGAGCTTAAGGCTGCAGTGAGCTATAACTGTGCCATTACACTCCAGCCTGGGTGACAAAGCAATATCCTGTCTCAAAAAAGCAAAAAAAAGATATTGGAGGATTGGAGGTCCTCTCCCCTCATCCTGATCAGGGGACAAGAAGACTTACGGCTTTTGCCTCCTAAGTCAGCATTTCATGTGGACCCCTGAGGAAGGTTCCAGGACAAGCTTTCAAGAGGAGGAACCATTTCCATTTTATTATTTATTATAATCTGTATGTGTAAAACAATAGCAAGTCCCTCATGCCCATGACATCCCAGATGTTATGGCTTAGTGTGAAGCTGAGTAAAAGGATAAATTGATTTAAGGTTATATGAAGAAAACAGTAAGTAGTGGTGACTGTGACAGCCGTTGTCACAGGAGCACGATCATGATGGGTGCCTGGACGAGCTGACCTAAGTGGCCCTAGAGACAGTTTCCCATCCTCATCGCTCCCCTGCATCCCTGCAGCAGCCTCTCACTTGTCCCCCACACTGCACCCTCCTTTCCCTCATAGCATCTCTAAGCCCTGCCTGGCTCCAGAGCTTTCTAGTAGCCTTTAGTCACATTTCCCAAACCATGACCCTCAACAAAAGTGCTCCATAATCCAGCAAGCAGGGTGTGTTAGTTACCCAGGCATGGTGGTTGACACCTGTAATCAGAGCACTGTGGGAGGCCAAGATGTGAGAATAGCTGGAGCCCAGGAGTTTGAGACCAGCCTGGGCAACATATGGAGACTTCATCTCTACAAAAAGTAAACAAAATTATCCAGGCATGGTGGTGCGTGCCTGAAGACCTAGATAGTCAGGAGGCTGAGGTGCGAGGATTGCCTGAGCCCCAGAGGTTGAGGCTCCAGTGAGCTGAGATCATGCCACTGCACTCCAGCCTGGACAACAGAGCAAGACCCTGCCTCAAAAAAAAAAAAAAAAAAAAACTCCAAGCTGGGCATGGTGGCTCATGCCTGTAATCCCAGGTCTTTGGGAAGCTGAGGTGGGAGTATCGCTTAAATCTAGGAGTTCAAGGTTGCAGTGAGCTATGATCACACCCCTGCATTGCAGCCTAGATGACAGAGCAAAACCCTGTCTCAAAAAAAATTTTTCCGGGTTGGGCATCGTGGCCCATGCCTGTAATCACAGCACTTTAGAAGGCCAAGGCAGGAGGATCATTTGAGCCCAGGAGTTCAATACCAGCCTGAACAACATGGGGAAACCTGCCTCTACAAAATACTAAAAATAAATTTAGCCAGGTCTGGGGACATGCACCTATAGTCCCACCTACTTGGGAGACTGAGGCAGGAGGATCATTTGAGCCCAGCAGGTCGAAGCTGCAGTGAGCTGTGATTGCACCACTGCACTCCCGCCTGCGTAACAAAGTGAGATCCTGCCTTGAAGACAAAAAACGGGGGACAGATCTTGAGCCCAAGTCTCTCTGTCTTCAAATTTATATCTTAAAAAAAAGGGAAACTCCAAAACTCAGCAACTTAAAACAACAAATATTTATTATCTCACATAATTTCTGAGTGTCAGAAATAAGGGAGCAGACTAGTCTGGTGGTTCTGGATCAGAGCCTCTCGTGAGGCTGCAGCGAGATGAGAGCTGGGGCCACGGTCATATGAAGGATTGATTGAGGCGGGTGGATCTGCTTCTGAGGTCACTCACGCTGGCAAGTCAGGGCTGGTTATCGGCAGGAGGCCTCAGTTCTTCTCCCTGTGGACCCTCCATAGGGCTGCTTGAGGGTCCTCAAGACATGGCAGCTGGCTTCCCCCTGAATCACTGATCCAAAAGACAGAACAAGGCAAAAGCTGCAGTGCTGTTATGATCTAACCTTGGAAGTTAGATGCTATTATTCCTGCCACAGTCTACCGGCCTCACGGGCCAATCCCAACACAATACAAGAGGAGGGTAACTAAGGGCATGAATCCTAGGCCGTGGGGATCACTGGGAACCATCCTGTAGGCTGGATCCACACATGCAGAGCACCAGCCCTAGCCAACTCAAGCAGGTCCATTCCTGGAGGGTGTCCCAGGGTCCCAAATACACCCACGTTTGTGGCCACAGCACCCTTTTCTCAAGGGAGGCTCTGGAGTCATGAGAAATCTAAGGAACCCATGGAAGACCGTGGCTCAGAGAAGATAGTCTAACTCCTTCCCCTTGTGTTTGTGTCCCTGCACGATCTGGCACGAATTTCCAGTACGAACTTTTCTCCTTTCACTTCACTTTTTGACATCTGCGGTACAGCAGCAGCCCCTGCACATCCAGCCATTCCTTATGCTGCTCATTCTGCCCTTTTCCTCGTTCACCTATTTATTGAGCTCCTGTTTATTCCTCAAGGACTTGTTTATTCCTCAAGGACTTGGGGAAAAGCCAGCATTCCATGAAGCCTTCCCCTCAACTCCCACAAAAAGAATTATTTTTTTCTTCCTTTGCTTCTCAAGTTTTTTGCATGGTGACATCTTTCGGGGGGCACCTGCCCCTTTGTCTGATGTCATAGCTTTCTGTGTGTCTTCTCTTCTCCCAGGCATTTGCCTCCAGTTGTGGTCGTTGCCATGCACCCCATGCTTGGTACAGCCTTGGGATGCAGGGAATATTTGGGGAAGAGTGAATCCCTTCCTCCTGCTCTCACCCTGGCCTTGCTTCTGGGCATGGTTTCTGATGAGCCAGGAGAGATCCCTTAGCAAGGCCAGATGAGAAGTTCCTCCTCCCCAGGGTAGCCTGTCGTTTTCTCTCCCAAAGACGGGAGGCAGGTCCCTCCACACCTGGGGGTTGCTCTCCACCCTCAGTCATAGCCCAGGGCTCAGGCAGGGCAGACTAGTGGCCCTGAGCCAGTTTGATGTCTCCAAGCGTCTGATGGACATCGTCATTCCCCAGGCAACACCACAGGCTCATCACAGCCTCAGCCTGGGCTGAGATTCAGTGGGATATTTGTTCTAGGGCCTTCTGGGTCGCCTTGAAGCTCTAAAGGGCAGTCACAGGAGCCCCTGTTCAGGAAGATGGATTGGTTTATACTTTTGATTTTGGAGATTGCTTTTGCAAAATGTACAGCCCAGGGAAAAGCCTGGGAGGGAGTCTGACAGGGCTGCCACCTTTGCAGTCACCACTGTGCCTCTTGTTTTCCAGGGGGCAGGCTGGGGTGCCCTCGGTGCTGAGAGACCTCTATCTGGAAGTGAGATGCCCCTGGCCAGGCTGGAAAGAGCTTGTCTAGTTGAATTTCTTTCCCAAACTCTTGGCATCTTGGAGCCACGTCCTGGCCAGCATGCCTGCCTGGCCCAAGGTGCTGGAGTCTTTCTCACTGGGGGATCCTTCCAGTGGTTTTCCTATTCTTTTCCTCCGACAGTGGCGTGGGCCTAGCACGAGCACATTTTGAGAAGCAGCCTCCCTCCAACCTCAGGAAATCCAACTTCTTCCACTTCGTGCTGGCCATGTACGACCGGCAGGGGCAGCCCGTGGAGGTGGAGCGCACAGCCTTCATCGACTTCGTGGAAAAGGACCGAGTGAGAGGATCGTGGGCTTGGCTGGGACTGGCCGCAGGAGAGAACCCACAACTAAACACACACACACACACACGCACACACACACACACGCACACACACACATGGGCAGATGAATGGATGGATGTTGGCTGAGTGTCTGGAAGGGAGGGAGAGAAGTTGGGGTTAGGAGAAGGGGGTGGGCAAGGGAGGCTGGAGGATCCCTGATCACCCAAGCATCCTCCCATCTTGTCCCTGCAGGAGCCCGGGGCCGAAAAGACTAACAATGGGATCCACTACCGCCTCCGGCTGGTGTATAACAACGGTGAGTGGAGGCCCCTGCCCTGCCCCTGAAGAATGGGCATTGCAGCATCATTCAACACCTAATGCCCTGCTTGCCAGGGCTGGGGAGAGTGTGATAAGGTCTGGCCATTGAGGCTGCACATGCTTCCCTGGCAGCAAGCCCTCTCCATCTTCCCATCCTAGGACTTCGGACGGAGCAAGACCTCTATGTGCGTCTTATCGACTCCATGTCCAAGCAGGTGAGTCAGCGCTTGGGGTGCTGAGGCCCATCCCACTCTATTCCCGGTCCCTGCCTCCCCTGGTCTGAGTGAGCCTCCTTGTTCCTGCCCTGATCTCCCTATGCCCTCCATCCCCATCACCCTAACTCCAGTTCCCACCCCAGCCTATGCTGGAGCCTGTCTGGCTCTTGCCTTCTGTTCTAGAAAAAGACAATATTTATACAAAAACCCTGGCTTGGGTCATGTTCCCTAGCAGCCCAGCTTGAGATGGAAACTCAGGTGCAGGTAGTTTATTTGGGGAGATGGGAGGGACTCCCAGGAGCAGGGGAGGGAGGCAAGCTGGAAGAAAATTGCACAGGGATCTCTGGAGAAGGAATGGCACCAGACGTGTCCCCCCTCGAAGCCAGTACCAGGATTTCTAGTCATTGGCTGGGGACCACTCCTAAGGGTAGCATGTAACCTCCTAGACATTTTCAGACCAGGCAGTTCCTATCCACTGAGAGCAGTACTCAGGAGGAATCCTCAGCAGCTGACATCAGTCATAGCCACGGGAAGGGGCATGTGTCCAGTAAAGGGGATTTGGGCGCAGCCACAGGAATTTCCGCTGCAGACCCTCAGCGCCCTTCTGATGTGACGGTCACAGGAAGGAGGCTCGGGGGCCAGCATAAGGAGCTGGAGGAAACTGAAACCTGAGTAGGCCCCGATGGATTCTGCCAATGCAGGGCCCCACATCTCAGGGCTTTTCAGAGAAGCTATGCATGCTGTCAGGGAGTGGGTTGAGTCTTAAATGGGCCAGATTAGTGGGCTAGGAATGCAAGGTGGAGATTTGGGCTTTCTACACAGGCGGGGTCTTCTGGCATCCTCCACCCAATCCTAGGGCAGAGGGAAGAATGGTTTGTTTCTAGAATGCCCATGGCCACTGGGCTGGGGAAGGCAGGCCAGGCAGTGCAGAGTAGAACTATCTGGGGGATGGATGTGCAAGGGGCTGGAGGAAGTCCGCAGAGAGAGGGATCCCACAAATTGGGAAAGGCACAGAAGGTTATGAACTGGGAAGGCAGATTTGCAGTTGGGAAGCTCACTTCTTGCTTCCAGGCATAGGGAGGCTGGAAGACTGGTGAGGAGGTGATGCAGCAGTCCCAGGGGAAGACCAGGCCTGGACTGGGGATGCTATCAGGGAAGAGGCAGCTGTGCAGCCCTCGGGGCTCACAGGGCTTGCAGGGATAGCTGAGAAGGACAACACTCATCAATAGAAGCAGAGGTCCACCAGAGCATGGAGGATGCACACAGGAGGATGCCGGGGGGAAGGGGAGGGGCCTGGTGCAGGGTGGAGACAGGAGTATGTCTATCCCACCAGCCCCCTGACCTTGGTCCTGGTGCCCTCGGGAACCCCCGGCCCCAAGCCAGCTCTGGAAAGAGCCACCTGCAGACAGACAGAATCTGCAGACTTCATGCCATTCTAGCCACCCAGTGGTGGTGGCGTGGTTTGGGAGGAGGGGTTATCTTCCACCTGGGCAGCCCAGAGCAAAGTGGAGGGCGTGCTCTTCCCTGGGGCAGGGTTTCCCTGGGCCTGTGCTTGGGAGATGCCTGGCCCATCTGTGCTGCCATCTGCACCTTCGAGGAGCCTCTTTCCCCTCCAGCCTGTGCCCTTCCCCTTCCCCCTTCCCAGGCCATCATCTATGAGGGGCAGGACAAGAACCCCGAAATGTGCCGAGTGCTGCTCACCCACGAGATCATGTGCAGGTGAGAGACGGTGTCACTCACACCTTGCCCTCTGCCAAGGCGTTGCCAAGGACTCCCCTAGGCCCCGCCCCCTCGCCAGCATTGCCCCTGGCTGCTCTCTGCTCCTGCTCCCTGGGGAAGCCTAGTGGCAGGTGGTGAAGGGAGGGGTGAGGCCCCTGGGCACAGCGCTGGCTAAGGAGAGGGTCCTTGAGGCCCCATTAGACTGGCCTGTTTATGTGGCTTCTCTGAGTGTTTTTGTAAGAGAGGCCTCCTGCTGCTGCTGGGAAGCTTAGCTAATAAAGCTCCGGGGAGGGCTGCCGGATGCAGGAACAGGGTCTGGGAAGGCCTCTGAGATTCGCCCAGAAGCCAATCTTTGAGGAAATTTTGAACCTCAGGGCAGCTCTCTGGCGGGGCAGGGTGGGAATGAGGGGGGTGCACAGCTCTCGGCTCCCTTTTCCCCATTATCCCAGAGCTTGGCATTTCTAGTGAGGTCTCCCCAGGAGCTGCCCGTCATACAGGGTCCTCAGAGGCAGTTCCTGATGCATGGAAAAGAGAACAGTGTTCAGAAATCTGCGATTGGTAGCCAGGCACCTGTAATCCCAGCTACTGGGAAGGCAGAGGCAGGAGGATTGCATGAGCCCAGGAGTTCAAGGCTGCAGTGAGCTATGATTGCACCACTGCGTTCCAGCCTGGGCAACAGATCCAGACCCTGTCTCTGAAAAATAAATAAAATAAAATAAATTTAAAATAAATAAATAAATCTGTGGTTGGAACTATGGCTACCCTTGGAAAGAGGAGACAAGGAAGAGGCCTGCCTGGTGCCTGGGCTGCTGCCCACGCAGCACTTCTTGGTGTGGATGCTAGTCGTGCAGGCAGATTCATTCTGTGGCCATTGATTGGCCGCGCACAGTGGCTCACGCCCGTAATTCCAGCACTTTGGGAAGAGAGGCGGATGGATCACATGAGGCCAGGAGTTCAAGACCAACCTGGCAACATGGTGAAACCCTGTCTCTACTAAAACGACAACAATTAGCTGGGTGTGCTAATTGGTGCAATTAGGTGGTGGTGCACACCTGTAATCCCAGCTACGTGGGGAGGATGAGGCACGAGAATTGCTTGAACTCAGGAGGCAGAGATTGCAGTCAGCCAAGAAAAAAAAATTCACTTTGTGGTCATTCATGAACTCACCATTTGAGCTCCAGTCTCTGTGTAGACCGTGCTTCCAAAGAGAGACCCTATAGGTGACCTGTAGCCTGCCCTTTCCTGGGCCCTCCAGGAGCCAGGTGCCTTTGGGGCAGGGGTCTCTGGCCAGCCTCATCCCTGGGCTAGGCTCTCAGGGTCCCTGCTGAGTATTCCACTGCCTTTCTCCCCCGAGGCCCTGGGAGTGAGCCCCTCCAGCACAGGGATTCCACACCCAGAGACAGGACATCAGCACCCTCAGCTCAGGCCTCCCCTACTACAACTCACACACTGTCACGGCCCCCTCCTTCCTTGGCTTCCGCCTTCCCTCCTTCCTCATCTTTCCTTCAGCCGGTGCTGTGACCGGAAGAGCTGTGGCAACCGGAATGAGACGCCCTCAGACCCGGTCATCATTGACAGGTACTGGCTCCGGGAGGGGGCCTAGGAGCTCAGAGGGAGTGGGGGAGGGATGGCTGTTTTCAACCACAGAGTACCAGGGCTCAAGGGAGGAGCGGAGCAGCCCCCAGGGCACCAGGTTGGTGGCTCTGAGCAGAGAGAGAAACTGCCAGGCACCAGGGAGCCTCCAGCCTTGGCCCCTGAATGAGGCCCCTGGTGGCCAACTTTCTGGAGCTGCTTTCCCTGACTCCCTGAGAGGAGGACCCAGGGAGGGCAGGGAGGTTGTGAGGGGGGCAGGAAGGGAGCAGGGAAGCCAGCACTCAGGGACGGGCTGCCCAGGTGGAATGGCCAGCGTGGTCATGTCAGCAAAAACCGGATTCAGGTGCCCGGTTCACCCCTGTGCTGTCTGACCGTGACTTCTCTGAGCGTGCGTTTCCTTCACTGGAAAAGTGGGGAAAGAGTAGGCAGGTTTTGGTCACAGAACTGTCAGGGTGAGGCATGTGAAAGTGAACTTGTACGCCATGATTTTTATTTCTTTACTTTCTTTTTTGTCTATTTTGTTTTTTATTTTGTTGAGACGGGGATTTCGCTCTGTCACCCAGGCTAAACTGCAGTGGTGTGGTCACGGCTCACTGCAGCCTCAATCTCCGAGGTTCCAGTGACCTCCCATGGCAACCTCCCAGGTAACTGTGACTATAAGCACATGCCTCCACACCTGGCTAATTTTTGGGGTTTTTTTTATAGAAAATGGGTTTTGCCCTGTTGCCCAGCCTGGTCTTGAACTCCTGGGCTCAAGCAATTCACCCGCCTCGACCTCTCAAAGTGCTGGGATTGCAAACATGAGCCACTGTGCCTGGCCTATTTCTTTTTGAAGAGGAAATACATAAAAAGTAAGGTGCAAAGTTTAAATGGTACAAAACAGTATATAATGAAAAGTAAGTCTCCCTCCACCCCTATGTGTAGCATACTGTACATGTTATTTTTTTGGTAACAATATATTTTAGATATTATTCCATATAGGAACATAAACCATATCTTATTCTTCTTTTAATAGAAAAAACATTCATAGCTGCAACAATTGAATAAGCTTAAAAGGGTTTACAGCAAACTGTCTCCCACCTCTGTCTCCCATTCATCCATTCCCCACCAAATAACCTACCACTGTTACCAGTTTCTGTTGTATGCTTCCTGAGATAGTCCTTGCATATACAATAAAATAGTTATATGTTCTTTTTGTACCCTTTCCTTTTATTTTTATAAAAATGGTGACAGTGGCCGGGTGCAGTGGTTCATGCTTGTAATCCCAACACTTTGGGTGGCTGAGGCAGGTGGATTGCTTGAGCCCGTGAGTTTGAGACCAGCCTGGGCAACAGGGTAAAATCCCATCTCAACAGAAAATACACACACACACACAAACTAGCCAGGCATCTGTGCATCTGAGGTCCCAGCTACTCAGGAGGCTGAGGTGGGAGGAACACCTGAGCCCAGGAGGTCTAGACTGCAGTGAGCTGTGATTGTGCCACTGCACTCCAGTCTGCGCATCAGAGTGAGACCCTGTCTCAAACAGTAATAAATTAGAATTAAAATGGTCTCAGGAAGCACAACTTTCAGCACTTTTCTCTTTCTTTAAAAAATTTAGACCTGGGAGTTTACATCAGGACACAAGAAGTCTCCTTAATTCTTTTTTGCCACTACAAAATATTTCATTATATAGGTATGCCATCATTTACTTAAATAGTCTGCTATTGCTGGACAGTTCAGTTGTTTCCATCCCTTTTCAGGGATAAAAAATGCTGTGGTGAATTACTTTGTCCATGTGTCATTTCACACGTGTAAATTTATATGAAGGCTATTACTAAATAGAATTGCTGGGACAAAGAATGTGTGCATCTGTAGCTTTGATAGTTACTGCCAATTCGACCTCTGTAGGGGTCATACCAACCGCATTGATACCAACAATTTTGAGAATGCCTATTCCTTACACTCTGGCCAATTCAGTATTTTTGTTTATTTGTTCAATCAACAATTCTTGAGCATCTACTCTGTGCCAGGATCTTTTCTATACGCTGTGGATAAAGCAATGACCAAAATAGACAAAAAGCCTTGTGTTCACAGGCTTACAGTCTGGTAAGGGAAATAAACATTAACAAATTCAATGAATAAAATCCATAGCATGTTAGACGGAGATAACAGTTAAGGGAAAAAAAGCCATCAAGGAAGATCCAGGAGTGCCTAGGAAGCAGGTTTCGCAGTTTTAGGGTATTTAAGCTCTCACTGAAAAGATGACATTTGAGCCAAGACCCCAAGGAAGTAAGTGAGTGAGTGATGTATTTATGTATCTAAGGGAAGAATGTTCTCGGCAAGAGTGAACCTGCTGTGTTTAAGGGACAACAAGGGGCCCAGGTGGCTGGAGCAAGGAGGGTAGTAGGAGGAAGTGCTGTCAGAAGTAATGAGTGGGGCAGAGGAAGGTGCGACCATGTAGAGTTTTATAGGATGCATGTAGGCCACACTTACGGGTCATTGTAAGAGCTTTGGCATGACATGGATGCCATTGAGGGGGATGTTGAGAATGATAAGACCTGGCTTATATTTTAGCAAAATCACTCTAGCTGCCATGTTGACAATGCCCTGTACCAGGCAGGGAGATGAGCTAGGAAGCCAGTAAAATAGCCCAGGTGAAGGATGATGGAAGCTAGGACTAGGGACACTATAGAGGAGGTTGTAAACAGCTGGATTCTGTATATCTTTCATTTCATAGGCAGGACTGACAGGATTTATTATGGAAGGCGGGGGCGGGGGGGGAGAGAGAGAGAGAGAGAGTCAAAGGTTCAAAGATGTCTCCAAGGTTTCTGACCTGATCAACTTAGAAGGATGGAATTTCCTGAGAAGGGTGTGATTTGGGGGAAGAGCAGGTTTTGGAGGAGGAAGATCTGGAGTTTGGTTTGAGCATGTTATGTTTGTGATGCTCACTAAACACCCAAGTGCAGAGCAGAAAAAGCCATTGAAAACGTGAGGATGGATCTCAAGAGAAAGGCTCAGGCTGCAGATGTAAAATTGAACGAACGAAATCATAGAGGAGATGACTGTTGATAGCAAACATAAAAGGCCTAAGAACTGAATCCTGGGGTGTCCAGTATTTAGAGGTCATGGAGACGTGGAACCAGCAAAGGGAATGAGAAGTGACCAGAGAGGTAAGAGGGAAGTCAGGGAGTGTCGTGTCCTGGAGCCAAGATAAGAAAATGTTCCAAGAAGGAGGCATCTGCGTCCAATCCTGCTCATGGATATGATAACAAAGACTAAGAACTGACCATTAGATTTAGCAACAAGGAGGATATCGGTGATCACCACAGGAGCCATTTCAGTGGAGTGGAGAGGCAGAAGCCTGATAGGATTGCATCTAAGAGAGAACAAGAGGAGACAATGAGTAGAAGAACTCTTTGGAGTTTTGCTCCAAAGAGATCCAAGGAATCAGATGATGGCTGGGGCACAATGTAAGGCCAGGAAAAAATATGGCTTTCTCATATGCTGATGAGAAACAGCCAGGAGGGAAGGGGAAAATGAGGATGCAAGAGAGAGAGGGGAGAATTGCTGAAGCAGTATCCCTTAAGTGGCAAAAAGGATGGGACCTTGTGCACAGACAGGCTGATTTTAGCTGGGAGCACAGACAGTTCATTCATGGAAAAGCAGGGAAGACAGAGAACATGGACACAGAAGTGGGTGAGTGGGTATATCCAAGTGGGAGCTTGGAGGTTCTCTTCTGATTGCTTTGTTCCTCCGTGAACTAAGAACCAAGGTCAGCAGTTGAAGATGAGGATAGAGAGGGAGACACTAGAGGGCGTGATATAGTTATCCAGGAGAGTGAGTGAACCAGGGGGAGGAATGTCATGTGATTGACAAGCAGCACTGAGGGTACCCCTGACGTTTATGATCATAAACATGGTGATAACTTTCTTCAGCCATGTTGAGCTGCACAGGTGTAGGTGCAGAACAGGTGAGTGGTTGCATAAAACCAGAGTTAGGGGTTTGTCAGTTGAGTAGAAGGAAACATGAGAGGGCAAGAAAGTGAAATGTATGTGCACGGGGATATTTATTTTTTTAAAAATAGAAGGATTTAAGCTGGGTAAAGAGAGGAGTATGTGAGAGTGTGGACATCAATTCTGATGGGACCCAAGAATTGTTGGAGTTGAGGTATGAGACAGAGGTTGAGCTCGTTGTTAGGTGGATGAAGAATGGGTGGCCTGCAGATGGGATTCAGGGTTGAATTGGTAATGTGTGGCCAGGAAAGGTGGAGACAAGATCCTTGGAGGAAAGATGCTCGAGGAATGGAGAAGAGAGTGCATTGGAAGAATTTTCTGTTTATACTGACATTGAAATAACCAAGAATTGTGACAGAGACAAATGTTCAAGGGTGTATATAATGGTCCAGGAGTAAAGCTTTATGGAGTGAAGGTAAGTGATCTTGGGGAAGATAAATGCCAGCAACAAGCAGCAGTGACCATAAGTGTTTTCTAAGTCTCCGTCATGTAAGTGAACAGTGGTATCCCAGTGACTGCCGTTTCTCTTCCTCTGAGTGAGGTTGAGCCCACTAGGGCTATTTAAAGGCTATTAGTGTTTCCTTTACTGTGAACTGTCTGTTCATATCCTGTGTTTATTTTTCCTTCCTTCCTTCCTTCCTTCCTTCCTTCCTTCCTTCCTTCCTTCCTTCCTTCCTTCCTTCCTTCCTTCCTTCTTCCTTCCTTCCTTCCTTCCTTCCTTCCTTCCTTCCTTCCTTCCTTCCTTCCTTCCTTCTTTCCTTCCTTCCTTCCTTCTTCCTTCCTTCCTTCCTTCTTTCCTTCCTTCCTTCCTTCTTTCCTTCCTTCCTTCCTTCTTTCCTTCCTTCCTTCCTTCTTTCCTTCCTTCCTTCCTTCTTTCCTTCCTTCCTTCCTTCTTTCCTTCCTTCCTTCCTTCTTTCCTTCCTTCCTTCCTTCTTTCCTTCCTTCCTTCCTTCTTTCCTTCCTTCCTTCCTTCTTTTCTTTCCTTTCCAT